GAGGGACCCTGCAAACAAAAAAAAAAAAAAAAAAAAAAAAAAAAAGTATTTCGGATACAGGAAGGAAGGAAGGGAGGAAGGAAGGAATAAAACAGGTATTGAGGACATGGGGAGGGGGGAGGGGAAGCTGGGACGAAGTGAGAGAGTGGCATGGACGTATCTACACCACCAAACGTAAAATAGACAGCTAGTGGGAAGCAGCCGTGTAGCACAGGGAGATCAGCTCGCTGCTCTGTGACCACCTAGAGGGGTGGGATAGGGAGGGTGGGAGGGAGACGCAAGAGGGAGGGGATATGGGGATATATGTATACGTATAGCTGATTCTCTTTGTTATAAAGCAGAAACTAACACACCATTGTAAAGCAATTATACTGTTTCTGTTAAAATAAATAAATAAATAATAATAATTAAAAAAAGAATTGCTGTGCATTTTGAGTATGAGCTTGCAGCATATGCAGTGTCCTCACACCTAATCTGTTGTTTTCTTCTTGGCAGACCCACTACAAGATTTTGGCTTGTCTATTGACCAGTGTCCCAAACAACTAAAACCAAATGTCAACATCAGATTTGGAATCATTCTGAGTAAGTAAAAATTATTGACATGATATAAAATATTACACAGCCTCTTCGTGGCCCAGACGCCCAACTGCTCGTGTGTACTGTGGCGGCTGTGGCTACACCACTGCTCCCATCACTCTCTGGAATTAACTCTAGTGCCATTTTCGTTTTCATTTCTCTCTCTGGGCAGTATCCAGATAGAGCAGAACTCTCATTTAATGCTGTGCTTTTGTACCAAAAAGACCCTAGGCACTCATTTGGGTATTACAAGCACCTGGAATCAGTATATGCAGCAAAATAAAGAAAATATTTTGAGCCTAAATATTGATGCTGCTTAAGAGAGACCTTTTTTGCTTAGTTATCTCAGCCACAAACAAGTCTGGTACCAGCAGCATGGTTTATCTTTGCATTATTTCATTCCCCAAATAGCTCTTATAAGTTCTTAAACCTTGACACAGGCAAAGACATGGAATATCTTCTCCCTGCACCCCAATCCATGAGGCGGAACGCTTTCTGATTGTTTATTTTTACGTGGTCGTGCCATTACCGTTGGTCACCACATTGCTATAGCTGCCAGTGTATCTCCTTTCTAACACAGATTCATCAAAACCAGGGCAGAAGGTGTTAATAAACTCAGCATGTGGGATCACTCCAGAGAAACGGAGGGAACATCCCGGAGGCCAAGTACTCTCATGCATTTTCATATTTCCAGACCCTGCACAGCCTCTGGGCTCTATACCAGCAGCTCCATGGGTGCTTTAGGGAGAGACAGAGAGGAAAGAGGAATAGAAGGAGGAGTGAGTGAAACGTAAAAGGGAGGGATGGAGAAAAAGGGCAGAAAGTCGGGAGCCAGCTCTGCAGAGCGGCCAGAAGCTTTCTGTGTGACAACGGGACAATGTCTGCCTGGCATCAGCGGTGAGGGTAGGCAGGCTGGACCACAGCCCACTGCTCTCAGGGGAGGCACCTGGGACTACGTAGCTGAGAAGCTGTGGAAGCCAGGCCCCCAGCCGCCACATTCAGGGGCCATGGCATCAGGCCAGGGGAGCAGGTCAGCTACCTGCTCCAAGCAGATGAAGTTTGTGAAAGGGCCGCGTTTCATCCCCAGGGCTGTCCCAGTAGCATTTGCCTAAATGCTGTTTTACCAAAAAAGAAAACTGTTCCCCATACAGTGCAGACTTCTGGAAAAGACAGGTCCTTTGGCTCATGCTTTTATGAATTTTGAACACTGTGATGCACAGCGAAACCCACACTAACAGGAAAGCTGGTCTTCCCTTTCCCTTCAGGGGAGGATATCAAGGGGCTGTTTCTGGACGTCGCTCTCTTCAGTAAAGGCCTGTCCATTCTGAATTTCTCCTACCCCATCTGTGAAGTGGATCTACCCAAGTTTTCTTTCTGCGGAAGAAGCAAAGGAGGTAGGTGTCTGGCTGGCTGAGGCCCAGGGCGAGGTGGACAGGAGCTCGCGGTGGAGGTCAGGACACCCAGGCCGGCGTCTGGGTCTCCCCCCTCACCTGTGGACAAGCTTAACCTCACGTATCATCACGTGTTGTATGAAAACGACCACACGGCCCATCCCACAGGGCCTGCCTTACGGGGGAGTGCGAACAGCAAATGAAATGTGCCTATCGGGTGTTTACAAAGAGAAACTTGTTACTGTTAGTGGTGGCACCTTGTGAAAAATGACTAGCGACAGAAAGAACCAGTAACTTCCCCAAATCCACTGAGATTCAGTGTTTCCAGGCTTCTCGTCAGCGATCCCTTTAGTGGCAGGGTCTCCTCGATATACGCTGGTGGGATAAAATGAAGCTTTCCAAATGTCACTGTTGAACTGTGGTCATTCCCTTTGAGCCAATGGCCAATAGGGACATTAGGTATCTTGATTCAAAATATATTGAGTAGAAGCGTGAAACCCACTGTATTATCTCCTCTTTCTCCAATTCACCAACCCCCAACCCTCTGCTATTCGTACCCCACTCTGGCCTGTCCCCCGCCACGTCCTCCTTTGTCCTTACCACCGTATTCACTGAGGCCCTGAGATGCCTCTGTGTATTTAACTAAAACTTGGGTCTGACCTGTGACTGACCTTCCCCGGAAGCTGCTCTCGTCCCCCTTCCCAGGGCCTCCTTCCCGTCCCCGTTGGCCAAGGGGAAGCAGACCCTTAATCCCACAGCCCACAAACACCTGCTTCTCTATTTCCACATTCATGCAAACTAGAGAGAAATCAGCCAGTTATGCTTTCTGAACAAACAATCGAGAAGAATTGGGGTCCCCTTCCCATCCTAAGGGATGCAGACAAGGGAGGTTTGTGCAGGAAAATGGGGGAATTCAGGGCGTGCAGGCTGGAAGGAGCAGGCTGGACTTGGCTGTGATGTGCAGGCGACAAACCTCAGCTCAGCCCTCCCTCGCGACCCTCCTCTCTGCTCCCCGAAGTGTGGGACTCATAACTCAATTCTAGCACCTGCCATGTTGGCCTCCAATCGCTCACTCTCATTTGTCATCCCCCATAGACTTCCTGTGGATGGGGTGCTACCATCTCCATCTTCTTATTCCCAGGATATTGAATGCGCTGATACATAGGGAGTGCTAAGGACAGCACATATACAGAGTGAAATAGCTAATGCAATATTAAGCACTGGTACCACACACTGTTCTAAGAGCTTTTCATCTAGTGAGTCATTTACTTCCTACCCCACCCTCAGGAGTTAGTATTATTAATATTCTACAGATGCAGAAAACAGGACACAGAGTTTTAGGACCTTGTGCCGTCACAGAGCTGGTGAGGGACCCATGGCTTCAACCTGGACAGGCTGGCTCCAGAGCCATAATCTTGGCTTCTAAGGAATGAATGAGCAAAAGAACAAACAATGAAATGTATGAATGTGCCTTTTGACCAGGAGTTTATTTAAAATTATTATTTAAGAACTCTTTCTGGCCAGTGATCTGACTTTGTTTCAAATCAGGACATTTTAATCTTCTTAACTAACCTACCAAGGAATGATTAGTCAGTTTTCCTTTCTCAACTTACTGGAAATATTTCTGATTAATCGGGTGCATTGATGTATTTCCCCAGCACCGTGAACTCTTCATGAGTTGGCCCCTATTTAACTTTTTCTACCTGTCCTCGGCCATGCCTGTACCAAACTCCTCACCCTACAGTCAGTCTCCTTCCCATTTCCTTCCTTCCTTCCTTCTTTCCTTCCTTCCTTCCTTCCTTCTTTCCTTCTTTCCTTCCTTCAACACTAAGTCCCTACTCCGTGCCAAGCACTCTGGGGAGCCTGAAGATGAACCAAAAATAGTTTCTGCTTTCAAAGACATTCATGATGGTCTGAAGGGATTGGAGATTCACAAGACAACTCTTCCAAGTTGCATCAAAGAGGTATAAAATGCCAAGGAAACTGGATGGGTAGAGGTCATTCCCAATGGATTCAACCTGTTGGAACAGGGCAATCTGGGAAATTTAATACAGAATTACTTTCCTGATTGCCTTACGTTCTTTGAAAGCCAGTTAGAAGCTATATATAGTATAGCATAAAATGCTGATGGTCTGCAAGCATTCCTGATTTTACAGAATGTTTTGGAGGACCTCAAAGCATCTTGAACTGATAACTAAATAATAAACCCCCTGAGAAAGATTGACGTCTTCATAAGCTGATACCTCTAGCCAGCGTCTACTGTCCTATCTCCTGTCTTTGGCTTACCTTTCCAGTGTTTTTCCCAAATAAGTATTCTTGAACCCAAGTGTATGGTATGCATTCTTCCAAGCATACGGGCATAGTGGGATGCTTGGAAGTACCTCCAGCTTAGTAAGAAAAGACACATACTGGGCTGTCCTTCACTCCTCCTTCCTTCTACTCCCTGGATAAAGTCTCCCCATCTCCCTCCTGGATGACAGAAATGGCTTCCAATTGGTTTCCCTCCCTCCCTACTGCTGCCAGCATGGTTTTCTCAAATACCGATCTGATCCCGTCTCCCCTCTTCCCAAAAGACTCCAAGAGTCCCCGTCTCTACAGAACAAAGTCTAAGTTCTTTAGTGACCAAAGTTCATCACATATTTGACTCTAGCCTGTTTCTAGACACATCCTGCCCCACGAGGATGCACCCTTAGCGCCAGCTTTATCATAAGTCATTTGCCACCGTCCGACCACACCCTGTGTTTTCACTCACATGACGTTGCTCTGATGGTCCCCTTGGCCTCGAATATCTGTTCCCCCTTTGTCTTCTGCCCAGACTTAACTCAAGGATCACCTCCTCTGGGAAACCTTCCTCCAGCCCCCAGCCTGGTGAAATGCTCCCTCTGGATCCTCCTGGAGTATCACATTCTTACTTATCTCAGTTGAAGTTATACTATATAGTGTGTGTGCATGTGAGTCTTCCTTGAAGGAAGACACTTCAAACTGTGATCTCCCTGAAGGAAGGGGGAATCTTTCTTGCTCCTTTCTATCTCTGCAGACCTGACAAAGAGAGCCTGGCACCGAATAAAGATGCAATAAATAATTGAATTTGCATATGATGGATTAAATGCAAGTTTACCAGCCCACTTCAGAAGTGACCATCTGATGATGTTTATGCATGCCACAGGCAAAAAGCACGTCAAACCCTAGTAAATATCTTGGTCCTCCAAGTTTAAGAAAACTGAACTATCTTTTCATCCGTGAATGGTTTTAATAAGTTTAATAAAACAGAAAGGATATTATTCCCCAAAACTGAGTTAGTCCAATTCAGTTCAGCAGCTTGAAAGGCTGGTGTTTATCTTATCTGAACACTGGGCAGCCCTGCAGCCATTTATTGGCTTTCTTGCTGTGGGGTTAATAATTGCACCGGGGGGGCTGAGAAGCCAAACTTGGGGAATTGCCAGGAAATTTCAACTAGTATAAAACGATCAGAAAAGCGATACACAAATGCGGCATAAACAAATGCTTATGTAAATTACATAAGCCAGGAAAGAATAAAATCTTACATTCAGAGGCTTCTTGGGTTATTAAATTTTTTTAACCCACGCACAAGCCTACTGCAGGAATGATTCTATTGAAAAGAAGTGATTAGAAAAGGGGACAAAACGGCACCTATGAGCAGTGAGGTCAATTCAAGCTCAAACACCAGTGGTGGATGGTGATGTATTAAGGAGAAAGCTGAGTGCCTCCGGGGTTGAAGGTCCTTCTCAGCAGAGCAGTGACAAGACTTGTTGTCCCCACCACAGGCCACACAGTACCTACGGTATCAGTCGGAGTTGAGTTGAGTGATGCTTCCACGGCATTACGATGCATTCCTCTGCACCCAGCAGGCTGTTCCCCAAGCCAGATAACACTGCAGAGTGGGCCAGGCTTAATAAGACTGTGTGAATAAAATGTTTCCTTTTCTTCTGCATCCTCCTCAGCTAGCTCTAAGGCAAAAGCACATGGGATTCGAAGAGCGAATGATGCTCTTTTGACATTCCCATTTAGGGTGTGATGGATAATTTGGGGGAAACAGCCTATATGTCCGATTATAGGGAATTGACTGAATTCAGCCAATTTTTCAGCCGAACAAAGGTACAATCTGCTGTGCTTTTAAATGATGTGTAGGAGATTATTAAGTTACATAAAAAGATACTCATAAAAATACTGTTAAGTGACAAAGAAGCTGCCATAAAAGAGTACCCACTATTGGATTTTGTTTTTATTAAAATGTATGTAAGTGTACACACCAAAAAACTCTGAAATAGTATACACTTAGGTGTTAATCATGATTACCTCTAAACGGTGGCACTGCAGATCTTTATTTTCATCTTTTTGGAAATCTCTTTTGTTAGTATAATTAAATTTACAAGGTTGCTCTTTTAAATATTAGTTGATCTTTGTAGTAAAGACTAGAGAGGATGAATCCTCTCCCCTCTGGATAGTAAATAAGAGTTTTCAAAAAAGAATCATAATCTACTTAACACTCAATGATATTTGGAGTTACACAGAATCTGAATCAAAGTGTTGGATCATCTAGTATCCATTCTGTACTCTTTCC